GCAGAAGTTCTCACCCAGTTTATGTAGAGAGAATAGGGAGGAACAGAGGAAATCAGTCACTTGATACCCAGCTCTTACATTCAGGAAACAGAACCTGGAAGATCTAACTCTCGATTCACCGCCGTGTCCCGGGACCAGAATCCGCATGTCTGACGACCGCCCCTCCAGCGCCGGCCCCGCAGCGGCGCACGGCCTGAGCCCCACGGGCCGGCGAGCCTGCCACCCAGGGGGAGAGCTGCCCGGCAAGAGGGGCAATCTCAGAGGGAGCCTCGAGAGGGGTTGACTGATTGGCTACAGGAACCAAAATAAAACTGGGAGGTGCGAGGCTGAGTGATGGGGGGTGCAATGTCAAAACAGACTCTAGAAACTCGGGAAGGGGGCTGGCATGAGGAATGGAGGAGGGCACGTTGGTCTTGGACACGAAGAGGGTGGGACACCCTGGGTCAGGTGGCTGCCATCTCCTGAGGGAGGGGCCTGGTTCTGGGTGGCCCTAGGAGATGGGCCAGAACCAGAGGCAGTGAGAAGGGGTCTCCGTCACCTCAAGCCCAGCGTACGAGACAGGCCCCCCAGCTGCTCTCTTCCCAGTGTTGTCTTTCCCATTCTATTCTGTTCACTAGCATTTCACCCTGGCTCTGCCTTCTTGGGAATGGTAAACAGGCCGGGAAGTCATGACCACTGTACTTTGGCCTGGCCTTTTAGAATTTCGAGGGTGGAAAGAGTCTTGAAGATTGTTTTGTCCAGCCTTCGGTCCCATGACAGAGTCCTGTTAGAAATCGCTAACGAATGGCTTCCAAGCCCCAGCGCTCGGGTGACAGTGCCCAGGGCTGCCCTCCCCTCCCTCCCCCCCCATGCAGCGGCCCCCTGGAGAAGCCGTGCTGGGGCTTGGAAGGCTTCTACTCCCTGCAGTGAGGGCTGCCCCCCACTCCCCCCGCCGCCGTCTAATCCTCACCTCTGGGCCCAGGCTCTACAGCTGGAACCACCTGGGGTAAGCCTTTCCCTCTGCTTCAAGCCAGCCACCGTGGCAGTTGGTCTTTGCCACTCACTGAGCAACTTCTCAGCCTCCGGCGTCTCCTCATCTCCACTCCAAGTTGTCAGTGAGTTTCTTCAAAGCTTTTATCAAGATGGGGGCCTAGAGACATAAAGTCTTTATATCAGAAAGGGACTTTTGAACTCAGGAACCCACCTCATTTATAGATGAGGAGACTGCCGGTCACTTGCGCAAGGCCACACAGCACGAGACAGGGCTGGGCCTCAGACCCACTGACCGGGGACCCGCCCAGAGTGCAGGGTTGTTGACGCCACGCTCCTGATGTTGTCCAAGATCACGCTGGCTTTTGGGGGGGCTAGTGTGTTGAATTTTGTGTCAGCTAAACCCCCTAAATTGTTTTACAACTTTATTTTCTTCTGGTTGTAAAAATAATATATGCTAATTGTAAAAAAAAAATTAGAAAATACATAAAAATATAAGGTATAAACCTTCCTAGCGCTTCCTGTTGTAGAGTGCTCCCACCCCACATTTCTTTGCTTTGTTTTTGGCTATAAAAATAGGACTCTGCTTTCATCCTCCGTAAGGCCATCTTGCTAGGCCCCAGCCGGCTCTCCTGTCAGAATCTTGTCTTTATCAGCTCTGACTGGCACCTGGGCGGGGTTCCAAAAATGCCTCTGGCGTGCTGAATGAACGAAGCAAGCATCCAGATTGCTGATGGAAATAGTGAGACCCTCTGCCCACACCTCTTCCCTTCTGGGCTTGATCCCATTCCACCCCCAACTTCTTAGGTTCTATTCAGATGCCCTGTTTTCCCAGCCTAGCTGGGGCTCCACGTCTTTCAAGAAGTCCTTTACTCTTTCAGATGCAAAAGACTCCTTTTCAGGTCCCACAGCATTTGTAGTCTGGCGACACACATGTGTCCTTGGTTGTATGTTGACTCCCATTCCTCTCTTTTCCCTGCCTGGCTGGGGCCCATTTCCCAGTTAGCAGAGGCCCCGTACTTTTTCCTTTTTCTCTCATGGCACCCATGCTACAGTGTCTGCGGGTTATTACGGTCCCTCGAAATGGGGCTGTCTGACCTGATACTGCTAGGGACAGGCTCCTCGGAGAGGTGTCCTACACTGGAGTTCTTCTAAGGAGTGGGAGAGAAAGTAGAAGCTCACCGGGAGCCCCGGGAACATTCCCCACCCCCACCCCTGGCTTCCTAGAAGCTTATCCCCTGCTCCTCCTAAAGTTGACACAGCAGTTAATCATCTGGGTTCCCAACAATGGGTTCTGCTCATCTTGGGGCAGGTAAAAATGGGATTTGGTTGGTCTTTCACACTGGGAGGCTTCTCGAGATAAAAATCCTCTGGCTACTTAAAGAGACACAGGGAGGGTTATGGGGCCCCTGCCAATCCTCCGGGCTTCTCACGGGAAGCCTTACCTGCAGACCTGTGTTTTCCTTTCTCTTCACAGCACCAGCCCACGAACCCTTTTCACACCTCCTGGAACATCACATCTAAGGCCCAAGCCTGGCAGCCACCCCCGCCCCTTGGTGTCCATCTAGCAGGGGGGACATGATGGAAGAACATGGAACTGGGTCCCCAGAGTGATAGGTCTCTGCAAGGGATCCTAGGTAGGTGATGGGAAAGGCCAGTTAGCCTGTAAATCCCCGTCTGGTTTGAATTGCCCGGAGGGGCAGTGCACACTGTGTGCTGGTCTCTGTAGAAGCAGGGTGCGTGGTGCTTCGAGCACAGCCCCTGCCAGGCAGTCTGGTTGGCACCCCAGCTCCACCTTAGTCAGGAGACTCTGGCCCACTACCCAACTTCTCTCTGCCCGCGGTGATGGCAGTGAGCTAATGTGGGTGAAACACAAGTGTGCCCGGCACCGAACGTGGGCTATGCAAATGTGGCCAGCCCTATAGCTAGGTGCCTGACCCGGAAGTGATGTGACCTTTGTGCCCTGTCACTTGGGATCACCGTCTTCCTTCTGCGGTCCTGGCAGGTGCTAGGAAGAGAAGCGGAAACTGGACCCCGAGCGACCACACTGGCCTGGTGGAGGGCCCCGTCAGGATGCGGGAGTGTCAGGCAGGTGAAGCAAGTGACCCAGGGGTCGGTCGGCAGGCACTCAGTGCCGCGACCACGGGCAGGCCGCTCCGGCTGTGCAGGCCAGATTCTTGGCTTGACTGGAGGCTCAGTGGTAACCGTAAAAGGGGAAAGCTTTGACTAGAATGCGACCACTGTTTTGATTAATTTCCCTGCAGGTGGGAAGAGAGGCCTATAAGACAAAAAAGCAGAAACGCAGAAAACGACAATTCTTTGATTTTAATAGTTGGGGGGAAAGTTATAAAATAAAACAGACAACACAGAGCATTAGGACTCCCTCCAATTGCAATAACACAGGGATACAGAAATGTAAACGAAACAGAGCTTCCAGATAAGGTTTATACTATATAACTTCCAGAATACAGCAGCTCCCAGACACTCTAAAGTAAAATAAAACAGGAGTCTTCCAGAACAATCTATACACAGTCAGAGGGTGGCCCGAGAAAGCGCCTTCCCCGCGGTCTGGGGCTGGTTCTGCTCAGGGGCTCGGCTTCCCTGCGCCACCCAGCCCACTGCATTCTTCGGACCTCTTTCGAGTTTGCCTTCTCATTCTTTGGCAGGCTGGCTCCAACCCTGCCCCTCTCTCCGTTTTGACCCACACCCCTCTTCCTGTTTTTAGCGGGAAACACAGCCACACCAATAGAGCCTGGTGGCCGATTTCCTCCGATGGAGCCAACCAGCCCCGGGATGGCTCACTCCTTACATGCTCACAACCCAGCCTAGTCGTGTGAAAGAGTCAGAAAATAGGCTACAAATAGAACTTGCTAGCCCTCCGATACTGCCCTCCTGAGAGGCCTCTGATGGGTCTGGTTATTATTCTGTCCCAATTTTTTGCTGCTGCCCTAGGGTTTTGCACTCAACCAGAGAAAGGGCAGGCCTTGCAGTCTGGTCCCATTCTCTTCTCAGTCTCGACGGTGGACTCTGGGTGCACCAAAGACTCATCACCCCACCGGCCTTTCTCCTACAGCCGCAGCTGGACAAACTCTTGGTCTCCACACTGGTGAGTTGTTCCACAAAAGGTCTGTTATTGGGAAGCAAGCAGGCTCTCAGTAACCCCCAGGCATGCCCTGAAAGGATGTGGGAGGGAGGCAGAGCCCCTGGGGGTGGGGGGAGGGGAGGAGCCAGTGCAGCCCAAGCTACCCCAGCAGACCGGCAGCCCCCAGGCAGGGCTGGAGGAAGGTCTTAGGTGCAAGGGGTGGGGGTGGCTGAGGGCAGCACCCCCAGAGCCAAGGCACAGAGGAGGTATGAAATGTCCAGGATAAATAGAACTGCATAGAGAGGGAACAAAGCCAGCTCCATCCTCTCTTAAAAATAGCCGCCATCGGCTATTTTATATATATATTAATATATCTGTACATGTGTCATCTTTAAAAAAAGGAAATAAAACTTCCTTGGCACCTTGTCGTCGATTTCCTAAAAATGAGGTGATGTGTGGAAAGGCCTCCTGTGTGCACACACGGGTCCACGGCTGGGCACGTGTATGCATCTCCCGGTGGGAAGGGCCGAGCCCCCCACGGCCCTGAGCGCTGGATGCACCGCGGGGCAGGTGGGCACCAGCTCCCCCAGCAGCACCTTGGGTTTGCCCGGCTGCTCTCTGCCCATGCTCTTTCCTCTGCTGTCCACGGTGGACCAGCGGTCCCCGCCCCTGTGCTCCAGAGGAGGAAGGCCGCCGAGCATCCTCAGGTCCCTCCTCTGGGAAGGAAGTCCTCTCTCTGAAGGTGGGCCTCGCCCATGTCGGCCCGGGGCTCGGAGCGGCCTCTGCCCATCAGACAAAAAAACGCAAACGTGAGCAGAGCTCAGTGCAGGGCCTAAGCCGGCACATGTGCCTGGGGGTGGGGTGGGTAGGGGCCTCCAGGCCTGGTCCCCGCAGCCTGCGAGAGGCGGCGGGAGGGTGGACTGGCCGGGCAGCGGGCAGGCGACCCAGGCTGGGCGGTGCCATTCAGAGGTGGTGGTTGCTCTGTAGCAGGGAGGTGACAGTATTCTGCAGGGCCACAGCCACCTTCTTGGAGGTCTTGCGCAGCAGCGGGCTGTCGGGGTGGTGCTCCTTCAGGTGCAGGACGTGGCCCTCCTGGCTCTCAGACGTGCAGCCACACTCCTCACACACGTACAGCTTGGCCCGCCGCTCCTTGTATGCGTACTTCTGCTGCACGCCGTGGATCTTCTTGAGATGAGACTCCAGAGAGCAGCGCTGTGTGAAGGCCTTGTCACACAGGCTGCATTTGTAGGGCCGCACGCCTGCAGGGAGGAGAGCGCGGGGTGTCAGGGAGCGACAGGAGCCCCGTGAGCAGCTTCCCCACCACAGCGAGGCCGGGCCACCTGACTCTGGGGGAGAGGAACCAAGGAGGCCTGTCCCGTCTCCAGCTCCCTGAGGGACCAAACCGATTAGCCGAGGGGGACTTCTGCCCCACGGGGCAGGGGCTGGAGGAGCTCACTGCCCCCCCCAAGGGGCTCCTCTTACCGGTGTGGGTGCGGACATGTCTCTTCAGGTCGAATGTGTCATTGAAGCCCTTCCCACAGTAGGTGCAGAGGTGCCTCTTGACGTCGTTGTGACACTTCATGTGGCGGTTCAGCATGCGCTGGTAGGTGAAGGCCTTCTGGCAGATATGGCAAGTGAAGAGGTCTCCACTGGGACTGTCCCCGAGGGTCACCTGTGGGCGAGGATGGTGTCTGTGACAGCCGTCCGGGAGCAGGGGCTGCAGGTGGGCATGCTGGGAGGATGCAAACACCGGCCCCCAGCCGCCCACGGAAAGCCGAGCTCGCCCTCCAGAGGCCGCACCTCCGCGCCCCTGGCTCACAGATCAGCGCTGGTGGGGCTGGAAGGAACCTTTGGGTCAGTGGTCAGGCCTGCTGTTGGGTTCCCGAATCCCCTGCCACCCACCCCTTTACACCTCTAGAAATATGCAATGAACTACCTGTAGAAACAGCTGGGGTCACCATCACCTGTTAGGAAGGCCTCCCTTCCAGGGGCTCAAAGCTGCTGCCCTGCACCTGGGCCTCTGTTGGCCTTCTCTGAGGGAGGACAGGGGCACGACCAGGATATGGCCTCTGTCATGGCCATGGCCCCCCGAGGCCACTGCTCAGAGCCTGGAGCCCAGCCCCTTGCTTTTACTGGAGCCAGGCCTGATGCAGTATGAGGGGAGGCCCCTTGCCATCCTCACAACCCTCTTGCTTATAAACCTGCCTCATTTCTTTTGTAACTACGGAAAGGCTCAAATCTTTTCAGATGTGGAGATGAGTACCATGAGTAGGGTGACTGTCATTTAGGGCCAGTCTTGTTTTATCTTTACCTCCCAGCCTCCCCCTGGCCCTGGATCATTTGGAAGCCAATCCTGGCCACGCCCTGCCCCTCGGGAAGGACGCTGCTCCGAGTGACGGCAGTACCTTTCCAGCCCTGTGGCCAGCACAGGCAGACATGGTCTCGATCCTCCACGGCCATTAATGTCCAGAGGCTGCTTGTGCTGCGGGTGGCCCTGTTGCCGCCACCTCCGCCTGTCACCCCATCACATCACACTCCTCCTCTACTGCTTCTGGCCCTAGGGAAAGCCCCCTTGTTGCCGGCTGGTCAAGACCTTTTGGGTCAGGACCCACTCCTCGGGCGCGTCTGCCATCCTGTGTCCTCTGGCCTCTCTCCACGCCCTCCCTACCGACCAGGGTCCCAGGGATGAGAGGAAGGCCCACAGGGGCTCGGGGCCACTGTGCCGGTTCCCCGGTCAACCGACCAGCACGTGTCTGGGTGGTTCCCCTCTAGTTAAAACACACGCTTGGCCTACACGGGAAAGAGGGGAAGGAAGGGCATTCTGCTGCCAGCTTTCTTCAGTCCTTTGGCACACAGAATAGAGCTACAAGAATCCTTCCACTAGATCGGTGCTGGCAGGTGCTTCCAGATCCTAGACCTTTCAGGAATGCAGGCCCGGCCAGGGACAGCCTTGCTGTCTGCGCGCTCCTCGAAAGCAGGAGCATCTCTGTTGCCCCACGCCCTCCTTACTATTCCCACCGCTGAGGCCGAGCACAGAGGGCTGCTCCCCCGCGACCTTGCCCTAGATGCAAGGCCTCAGATGCCGACGGGGCCAGAAGCGGCACACTCGCGTGAGGTGGAGAGCACCGGGCACGGGCCTCAAGGGACAGCTAACCACCAAGTGGACTCCAGAGCTCACTCTGGACGCGGCATGGAGGGGAAGCCAGGAGAAGGGGTTGAGCCGGGCTCATGTCTCCCGCTTTTCCTAGGACTAGCAAAGAGGTACCTCCCCTTAAGGACAAAAACCAACCGAAATAACTCCTGGAATGGACTCCAAAGGGTGAATGAAATGTCTCTAGAAGCCTGCCGCTTCTTCCCAATGCATGACGTTGCCGCTTTAGACCTGCTTCTCTTCTCCCCCCACCCCCCATGCCCTTTCTCGGCAGAAACCTAGACCCAGATCCAAGGCCAGCCTCTGTCTGGGTCTCATCGTACCCGGTCTTGTGGGCTGGACACAGGTCTATAGACCCGCTCCTGATCCTCGGCGACAGTGTGAGGGGCAGTACCTTCATCTTGGTGCGCAGGAAGCCGTGGTCTCTGCTCTGGGGGTCTGCCAAACGACTCATGTCTTCGGAGGGCAGCTGGGCTACCACGCAGGGTCCAGGGGCCACACTATAGCTGGAGTCCCGAAGGCTCATGTCCAAAACCAGGGGGCAAGATGGGGGTTCAGCCACCGACGGCTCTGGTTCCCGGTAGGGCTGTGGTGGGCAGAAGCCCAGACTGACTGCAGAGAGAAGAACAGCCAGCTGAGGGGTTTGGTGGGGAGAACAGGATTCATTGGGGTCTCAGGACAGTTGCCTGGCAGTGGGCTGGCTGGGCCCGGGAGCCTCCGCCTGCCCCTCGCAGGCACATGGCAGAGCAAGCTGCCCCCAGCCCATACATGCTGCCCCTCCCTCCTGCCCCATTAAGGTAATTACAGGGGACGCCCGCCAAGCACCACAGCCCACAGGCCTGCCCGCTGAGTAATTTGTGTCTTAGCGGAACTGGGAGGACCGAACCTGCCCTGCCAATTATCCCTCCCGAGTTGTCTGCCTGCCCCACCTGGGCCAGTCCCTCTGGATTCCAGGTCTCATCCATGCTCCTGCGTGGACAAGGGGCACCACCGGAGGCCCTGGGCCCAGGGATTCATCCCTGGCCCTGACGGGTCCCCCCCAGTGGCCTGGGCCACTCTGGGCTGCTTCTTCAGGCCAATTTAGCTGCTGGCCTTGGGGGGACCGGGTGGTCCTCCAGGCTGGTTGGTGTCTCCTGTTGCAGCTCCTCAGGGTTCTAGGCTCCCCACTCCCACTGGCCAAGCTTGGCAGGCAAACAGGCCAGGTGAGGTGGAGCAGGGAGGAGGTCAGGGAGCAGCAGGTGGATGCGGCCTAACAGTCTCCTGGGCGTTGTGCCCAGCTATTATGCAACCCGCCCCCACGGCAGGGACCGCTTGCTGCGGCACAGTGAGGGCTGGGCTCCCAACCTCCGCCCTCCAAGGCACCGATACCTGGCAGCCCTTTGCGGCGGCCACTCCCCACGACACGCACCTCACACTCAACCCCGTTGCGGAGCAGAGAAGAGGAAGAGTTGTCTGAGTGACAGTGACACGGAGGGGACGGGTCTCAAAGCTGAGCAAAGCGGAGCAAACTAGCTAATGTTTTAATTTATCAGTAGTTTTCTTCCCCAAAAGGCTAAACTCTATACAGTGGACCCTTTAACAAGGCAGGGGTTAGGGGTGCTGACCCCCCACTCCCACAGTCAAAAATCCAAATATAACTTTTGGCTCCCCCGAAACTTGACTGCCCAGAGCCTCCTGTTGCCTGGAAGCTTACCAAGAACAGAAACAGTCGAGTAACACGTATTTTGTACATTCTGTGTATTATAACAATAAAGTAAGCTAGAGGAAAAAAACGTTATGAAGAAAATCCTAAGAAAGAAAAAATACATTTACAGCGCTGTGCTGTATTTATGGGAAGAACCACGTGTCTGAGTGGCCCGGTGCCCAGCTCAAACCCATCCTGTTGGGCAAGGGTCCGCTGTACTTAAACCCCATAAGCTACGAGCATTTTCCAAGCCTCAAAAGGAAGAATCAAGAGGTGCAGGGGAAGGGAAGGATGAGTTGCTTCCGGGAGACAGAGCTGGGAGGCCCAGTAAAGGTCTCGGACCCGCGGACAAGGCCCAGTGCACCCCCTGCCCCGGGGCTGCTGAGACACAGAGGCCGGGGACCCAGGGAGGGGCGGCCCCAGGGCAGGGGGGCTGGAGGCAGAAGACAGGGGAGGCCAAGAACTACTGATGGAGGAAGGGTGAATATGAAAGCACTGAAGAAGTTTCGGGAGAGGCCCCGGCGCTCGCCCCCTCAAAACACAACAAAGGTCTGACGAGGGAAGAATGCGCCTGCCTGCCGCCCAGAACCCGTTCTGCTGGCACTGGCGTCCGTCTGTCCGGGGGACTTTAATGAGCCACCTCATTCCCGGAGTTGATTCACCAGTGCCTGGCCCCGGCCCGGCCTCTGAGCTGGCGTGGCGCCTCTTTCTGAAGCCTGGGAGGCTGGCCGGCAGGCCCGCGGTCTCAGGGTCCCTGCGGCCTCCCCACAGGGACGGCCGTCTGTGCACGCCGGCCAGGGACTGGGAGGGGGCAGGGGTGTGTCAGAGGGCTGGCAGCTTCTGATGCCACTTTACCAGCTACTGGAGGGAGCTCTTGGCCAAGAATTCAGAGCTGAATGACAATTTCCATTTCTCAGTCCAGGTAGAGACAAACAGAACGGAAACCTCGTCCCTCTTCCGTCTTTCCCTATCGGATAGCCTGAGCGACGCTCCTGGAAGTTGGAGCCCGGCCACACGGCCTGCGCAGGCAGCAGCTGAGGGAGGAGTGACAACAGGTGAGGGCTCACTGGTTTGTGCTCCGAATGAGTTGTCACTCTTGGCTCCCTTGCGCCCCTGAGGGGGTGGCGGTGTTCAGGGTGGGGGCGCTGCAGATCCACACCAGCCGGGGAGATGGGGGGGACCCCAACTTCCTGGGCCTGCCTCTCCCATTCCGCAGCAACCCCGCCGAGCTGGTGCTGAGGAGCAGAGGACAGGGAGGGAGCCAGGGGCAGGGGACCCTGTGGGTGGGGATGTTTGCCTCATGCCATCCACCCCGCCAAACCTGTCTTCCCGCCACCCCCGTGAGCCTGGCCCTGCTGCTGCCGCACGCACACGGAATGCTCATCGGCGTGCCGCTCCTGGCACTGGGTGGCACTGGGTGGCACTGGGTGGCACTGGGTGGCAGGAGGCAGGAAGCAGAACTGGTTGGGCCCCTGCCTCTGCTGCTCTACGTTCCCTAATTAGATGTTTCCGGCAAGGCGGTGGCTGCAGCTACGCATCGCCCGCCCACAGCTGTGGAGCCCGGCAAGGCTAGACCAGCCGGCCCTCTCCCTACTCCCCTCGGGCCTTCGCCAGTTCCCCTGCGGTCGGCCCAGCTCACCTCTGCTGGATGACGCCGAGGTCATGGGCAGCTTTCCACCCAAGGACCGGCTCCCCCTTCTGGCCCCCAGCAAGCCCCCTGTCTCGCAGACTGCAAGCTGGCCAAATACCGGACAGAGGGCCAGGTCCTACCCCTCGCCAGGCCTCGGGTCAGGGCTGCTCTCTAGGGCGAGCAGGTGAGGCACACGTGAGGACGCCTAACCTCTGACCACATGGGGGCGGGGGCTGACCTGGGGGGTGGGGGGGTGTGACTCAGCGCTGAATGGGGAGTGACAGTGTATCAGCAAGACCCACGCTGGTGTGAGGTGGCCTTGCCCCCTTATCAGGAAAGGCAGGGGTCCCCTGTGTCCATCTCCCCCAGCCCCCGCAGGTCAGCTAGCAGTGCCCGAAAGGTGGCGAGTGTCAGCCAACTGGCAGAGGTGGGCAGCCCTGGAAACAATGGGCCCGTTCCTCAGCCTATTGCTTCCCTTCTGTGAATGCAAAGTTTCTCTCACAGGCAGTATCTTTCTCCCCTTTCCCAACTGCCTTTTGTACTGTGTCCATAACGAAGTCAACACCGGGCACCTCAGCCCGCGCGCCAGGGTGGGCAGCCCTGACCAGCCGTGGACTGTGCCTCCATTTGCCTCCTCCCCACCTCTTTCCGGCCAGCACGGGGCTGGGCACCCCGTGGGACTGTGAACTTGTTGAAAGTGGACATCAACAGTGGCCACCCTTCGCTCTAGTCTTCCCTGTGCCCAGAGGACATGCCCTCACCTGCTCTCTTTCTGGGACAAGTGGTGTGGCAGGAGTGTGTCTCGGGTCACCGCAGCCTGGAGCAAACGGCTTGGCAGCTTATGGGACAGCGCCCCACGGGACAGGCCTGAGCCCCATCCAGGCCACTGCGCAGGCCCAAGCTGCTTTCCCGTCCCCATCCACAGCAGACACGTCCTTCCCTGCCAGCACTTCCCAGGAGTTAGAGGAGGACCCTCACTGGGGGCCTGATCTCCCCCAGCCCCCTCTCCCTCCCACCCACACACATGTACTCTGGGGCCCAAAGCAGACTTGAGAAGCCTGTCCACCTCGGCCTAGACACGGAGGGGCCCAGACCCCTGCACTGCCCAGCCAGAGCCGGGCTGAGCAACTCCGGTCCCGCACACCTCGGCCTGGCTGCCTCCCAGGGGGTGGGCGTGTTGGTGAACTGGGAGGACAGATTGCAGAGGCCCCAACGCCGGAAAGGGGGTGCCTGGGGGCCTGGAAGAGGCCCTGCGATGCCCACATCTGGGAGCATGTCATTTCGGCTTCCAGGCCGCTACCAGGCTCATCTACCCTCAAGTACCTTCCTGGCTTTTCATTGTGACTCAGCAAGGGCTTGGAGTATGGGGCTTCATCCCTGTTTCTCCGGCTTCCCCTTTAGCCCAAGAGATGGAATTTAGCCCTTGGGTACAGGTGCTTAGGTTCCTCCCCAAGAAGCCAGCATTACTCCCTGCATACTAATATTGATATAACAAAGGAGAAATGCCTTGGGAGATGAGCGGCGGGGAGTGAAGGGCTTAGGCCAGGCTCTTGGGCCCAAATAGGTAGCCTGCAATCTCCTTTCCGCTGTGAGCTTTCAGCCCCCTGTGCCCACCTCTGGGCTTTTCCCTTGGCTTTGGAAGGGGAATGAGGCCAGAAAAAGGTTCTGCCCTGGGGGTGGGAACTTCTAGAATCGTGCCTCAGGGAGAGAAGCTAGAGTGCTGGTCAGACTGGCGCCCTGAGCCTTCAGTCAGTAAAAGTGTCTCTTTCCAGGGGCTCCCTGATGACTTAAGGGTCTCAGAGGGCCCCGGCAGGAAGGTCAGACCTCAAACGCTTCCCTGCTCCCCAGCTCCCCCAGGGCCTCTCCCGGTGGGACTGGGGTCAATGCTTAGCTGGTCACAATGTGCTGAGTCTGTGAGGTGGGGTGAAGGAAACGTGCCCAGTCGGCTCCTGGGGACATGGTCGGCTAGTGATGGAATGGCTCAGCCAGGGGACAAGCCACCACAAAACACACTCCCCACTCTCCAGCCATCTGAGGCACCCAAGCGTGGCCCGACAACATTCCCTTTCTCATTTCCAAAACCTGTGGGAAAACTCTCCAGTGGGCCATGTGGCTTTTAGAGGCTCAATTAAGTGCTTTGCCTTCTACCCTTTGCTTCACCCCACAGGACTCTCCCTCCCCAGAATGATGAGGGCAAATTCTCACCTGTACCCTCCAGGTTTTGACCCGGACCCAACCATCTTGGCCGATCCTATAGAGTGAGAGGTCTGCACAGCTCCCCTCACCTGGACAGCACCAGCAGGCGGCACAGACCACCCAGAAGCCCTTGCCTGTCACCTGATGGGACAGCCCCTGGGATGGAGGCCTCCCCCACCACTCCCACAACGGCCACCAGAACTGTGGTGGGAGAAATCACCAGGATGCAAGGAAGTCAATGATTTGAACAAACGGAATTTCTTTGTCCTTTGTAAAAGTCAACACATGATCTGTTACTGATTGGGATGTGAAATAAAACTAAAAATAACAGCACACCGAGTCTCGAAAGGCTCAGCTCACCTTTAACACAGTCCAAGTTCAGTTTATCAGATCCGAAGGGGCAGCTAAGCAGCAAGACAAACACAGGTGAGGGAGGAGGCAGGAGTGAAGAAGGGGCTCCGTTCCTCTCCTGACCCTTCTGGAGATGAAACACCAATCTGCCAACCCGCCAGGGAACGTGGTCACGCAGGAAACTATAAACAGAATCCTGGGCCCACACCCTAATCCATCTCAGGTGAGCTGGCAGCTCACCTGCCTTTTGGTCTGTTTCCCCTTGTTTTAAGGAGGCTGTAGAAGCAGCGCCTTGAGATAACCTGTGAAACATCCCAACAGCGTCACAGGCCATTGGATCCTGGCAGGTCAGGCCACAGAGATCTCACCACTACGCCCACTGTCTCCACCAATTTATTCAGGAGAGAAACTGAGGCAAGAGCCCTTACAGGGCCCCTCACTGCCCTCATTTCACCACTTTCCTTCAAGGCCTGGGGCGGTGCCAGAGAACCTGCAGATCAAGGGTCAAAGTCGGTTGGTTAATTACAACCTCTGCCCCCCCCACCACCTCCCTTGGAGGCTCTGGGCAGGGTGTGCAGCGCAGCCCCCGCCCCACCCCCAAGTCGTGGGGAGGGGGAGTTCCGAAGGAAGCTGGCTTTCTCCTGACTAAAGATTTTCTCGAGTGTGGAGGACAGAAGGCACCAAAGTGTTCTCAGGGCTTCCAGAGGAAGATGCCACTGGAGAGTGAAACAACTCGGGTTATTCATTCAACGTTGATTCGGACGCTGTCAAGGCGTCCTCCCAAAACAAGCTGGGTGCACCAGCTGCCCCGGGGGCCTGGTCCCCTGGCTGTGGGCTGGGCTCCTGAAAAACACTTTCTACTCAACTATGTCCTCTGCAACCATGTCCTCGGCAAGGAGGCGCGTTTCGAACAGCGGTGAGACCTGATCCCACCTTGGTCCTCGGGACAAGCGGGGTGCAGCCGGGGCGCCTTCCCCACGGTCCCCGCGCACTCCGCGGGGCGGCTGGTCGGGAACCCCTGGCGGCCTGACCCGCACCACGACCTTCTGGCCACCAGAGTGTGGGAAAGACGGACAGATCCATGAAGGCGGCTTAAACGAGTTTTCTCTTAACACTTTGCACAAATTGCGGCCGAAGCTCCAGCTCACTCCCTGTGCCGCCCCCCCCCCAGGTGGCATCGCTCCGGTGCCCTCCTCCCGCCTCATAAAAGTCCCGGCTTTCTGGATTTACGACGTGAGAGTGGAGGGTCGCCTGAGCGGTGACACACCCCGTTGCCTCCCCTGCGCCGCGGCTCCGGCCGGTGGAGGGGAGGGCGGCACCGCGCGGGCCCGCACGCCACGGACCCGCCTGCCCCCTGCCCAGCCGCGGGGCTTGGGAACGGCTCTCGCCCCCTCCCGCCGGCCCCCGCCCCCACCCGGCACCGCCTCCTCGGCCGCCCTGCCCTGCCCTCCCCTCCCCCCGCGCCGCGGGCTAACGGGGCCGCGGCCGCTTAAACATTAAATCGGGCGCCCCGGCTGCGCCGGCCGCGGGAGTCCGCGTCGCTGCGGTCCGCACGCCAGCCGCCTGGACGGGGCCCCCCCGCCCCTCGGGCGCCGCAGGCTCGAAGGCGGCGGAGGGCTCGCGGCCGCGGACTTGGCCTCACCTGGCACGTAGATCTCTCCGCGCTCCTCGTCGGGGAGCTCGCTCCAGTTCCTCTTGCACGTGGAGACGCACGGCTTCTTCACCAGAAACGCGCGGGGCATTTTCGAACCCTCCTCGCTCGGCACCGTCCGCTTCCGTGACTAGAGGCGGGAGCCGTCCCACCGTTCCCGGGCCGAGCCGGAGGCGGGGAAGGGGAGGGGGCAGTTCAGGGAACGAGTTGCCCAAGTGCCCCCACGTTCGGCGGGGAGACCGTGCCCGGGACGGCGCGCGCCCGTTTCCAACTCCGCGGGGCCGTTGCCGCCCTCCCTCCGAACGGAGGCCCTTGCAGCCAGGTGCACCGGGCGGCGGGGGGAAGCGGCAGGTAAGCGTCTCCCGGCTCGACTGGCGTCCCCCGCGGCCGCTCGGGAAGTCTTAAAGTGCGAGCCGGACGGACGGGTTCACGCTTTATTGGCTCGCGGCGGTGCGTGTTGGTGGCTGGGGCGGGGTGGTGGGGGGGGTGATCTGAGCTAATTAGCTTGGAGCGTCCCGGGGAGCGACGGCGCATGCGTTGGGAAATAACGGTGACAACCCACCTATTTGTTACCTGTCGAACCGGTTTCCATTCCGCTGCCGGTGAGGTGGCCTCGCGGCCTGGGCGGGGTGGCCGGGCGGGGGCGGGGGGCCGGCGTGGGGCACCCAGCACCCGGCTGCCCCGCCGGCCGGGCCGCCGCCCGCCCCGCCCGGGACCTCCCAGGCGGGAGCGCTAGCGTGCGCCAACGGAAGCTTCGGAGTTTCGGAGGGAGCCGAGGAGGGGAGGGGGCAACGTTATGTGCACCCGCGCTCGCACGCTCTGCGGGTGATGAAATGAAACTCGCCCAACGGGGCCCGGCCCGTCTCGGCGCGCCCCGGGCGCCTGGGGAGGCGCGAAGCCGTCGGGCGGGAACGGGCGGTCCCGCCCACACTTGTTGAACCGGGCCTGGGCCCAGGCGGCCCGGGTCCCCAAGGCCTGGCTGAGCAATTCGTGGTTCCTCCCAGAGGTATTTGCTGGGCTCCGGCTCCGTGCGGGTAGGCACGCGAGGCCCCAGGAGCGCGTAGGCCAGTGGGCGTGCCCGCGGGGACGACGCGGCCACAGCACAAAGCGGAGAGTGCCGGCCGGAGAGCAGATCGCTCATCGCTCTGCCCAGAACCCGCTTTCTGGCGAGGGAAGTGTGGAAGGCTTCGTGGAGGATGGGGCGTTTAAACCTCTCCGAGTCCACTGAGATTCGGAAGACCTCAGCGCCTTAGTCATTGGGGATTACGCTCCCGCAAACACCCTCATCCTGGTCCCAAAGGGCCAGATTTCACGTGCAGCAAGGCCGAGGCCGAGGCCCCCTGAAGAAGTCAGGCCCAACGTACTTTGCCTGGTGGCGGCCACTGCAGGGCAGAGGGCTCTTGTCTGCTTCTCCCCCCCCCCCACCCCGTCGTAGGCCACCCTCCGCTGAGGTTCAGCCTGGGACACACACACCCCCCCTCCCCCCCCAACCATTCAACAAGCTCTGCCCAGCCCCCAGATTTAGCTGGAGGGAGGCCCACCCTCGGAGCACTTGTCGCCTTCCAAGTTACTGTGACACTTTGGCGCCAGGCTGCAGCTGGGCTCTCTTACCAGCCGGCCTACTGAGGTCAGGAATGGGACCCCTTCCTCTCTTTAGCTCTCCTGCTACCCCCTATAAAATAAACATTTCAGGATCTCTACCACACATACACCTTTCCCATGTGTTAAATGTTTGCTGGAACAGATTAAGAAGAAATGAGTCTGATGAATGAATTCACACAATTCAAAAGTCAGGAGTCAAAGGGGAACAGAAAGCTGGTAGTGGGCTTCGGGGCAGGCCCTCTACATCCCCCCACAGGTGGTCCAGGAGCACCCCGAAGGTGGGTGGGGGGAGTGTGCACTTCAGGGGCAGATGGGCTTCCTCCCTCACTCCCTCCTGGGGCCTGTGAGTTTGGCCAAGGGGCTTTCCTTTCCAGCCTGTTTCCTAGTCTATCACCTGAGAATCCTGTCACCTACCTCCTGGGGTCACTGTGGGTTCCCGCAGCTCAGAGCTGTTTGCCCCTTCCTCTCCCAGGGCTCTGCCTTCTAGCACCCAAACGTACTTTGTCAGCCCTCCCTTTTTACTTGCACCCTTTGGTTCAACTGGCATGAAGTGAGCACCTACTATGCACTTACCTTTTGAATAAATCCTGGAGAAAGAACATTGACCAACACAGTCTGTCTAGGAGGTAAATTTCGTTAATTAATTCAACAGATATTTATTGAGCGTTTCTGCTGTGCCAGACCCTGCCAGGGGCTTGTTACACAGTAGGTGCTTAGTGGAAACTAAGTCTTCACAGATGACCTTGGACACAAGAAGCACAGTCTTTCTCATGGGTGGGGAGGTTAGTAAGGAACAACTCACATGTCTCCACTTGTAGTAAGAATGTTACACAGTGTCCAGAGGAAGGGGATAGTCACGCATGCTGCCCCCTCCTATGTCTCTAGTATCTACAGCTGTACCTGGCACATAGTGGATTATCGATAAATATTTGTTGCATGAATGAATCTCTCTTTTTCTTGACTCATGTGACCCATTCAGCCTTTCATGTTCCAACTTTTGGTAGAGGCATGGATACAGAGCAAATTTATTATAAGGAAAGCAATAGAGCAGGTTCAGTGATAAAAGGCAACTGACATGGGCTGTCAGGGAGAGAGAGTGGTGGGGACGGTGCAGAACGTGCCGATCTAGAAGGGCAGTAACAATCATGTCATCTGAGCATAGAAACGCAATGTGGCCACATCTGTCCATTTTTGAAAAGAAGCCAAAAACCCAGATTTGCATGTGAAATCTACCAATTTATAAAAGTTGGCTCAAAAAAAATTCTTTTAAGATTTTATTTATTTGACAGAGACACGAGAGAGGGAACACAAGCAGGGGGAGTGGGAGAAGGAGAAGCAGGCTTCCTGCTGAGCAGGGAACCCGATATGGGGCTCGATCCCAGGACCCTGGGATCATGACCTGAGCCGAAGGCAGACACTTAACGACTGAGCCACCCAGGCGCCCCCCCCACCAATTTTTTTTTTTTTAAACGTGTAACGAGTCAAACAAAATACCATTGAGGGTCAGATTTGACCCACAGGCTGCTGATGTGTGGTCTGTGGTTCATGAGCAGCCCTGGAACGAGACAATGTGCGTGAACTTGGATAAACACCAGGCTCTGTGAGGGCAGGCACCTTCTGCTCCATTCACACAGTGTCAGATATCATTCATTCATTCCTTAATTCAGTCAACAAATATCGAACACCTATCATTTGCTTGGAACTGATGATTCTGTGATGCAAGGCAGACAGAAAAAGAAGGAAACTTTTAGTGTGATGCATGACTTCAGTGATGGGATAATGATTTATCATTAAATCTGAGATCTGAACAAGAGGTAGGGGCCAGCTGTGCGAGCAGGCGAGAGCCAGATCCACAGAAGGAACAGCTGGTGCCCCAGACTGGGAGTGAGCGTAGTGTATGTGAGATGAACCAAAAGACGAGGTGGCATTAGGAGGGGATGGGAGGGTGTGGGAATTGAGGTTGAAGAGGCAGGTGTGCCGTGTCATGTGAGGCTCAGTGTGATGGGAAGCTATGGTAGAACGGAGTAGTAGAGAGACCAGTAAGGAGACTACTGCAATTGTCCGAGCAGGAGGTGATGGTGTGCAAACGGAGCCATGAGCTCTGATTCTGGCTGTTCTGAGTAGACCTCTCTTGTTGGTATAGTGTTGGGACAAGGGTGTGAAGCAAAGCAGAACTCCAGCGAGCAAGCAAGGATCGTGCTCCCCAAAGAGTGGTGGCTGGCTCCCGCCTTTGGTGCTGGGCTCCCAGCCTGAGCAGCCCGGGGAGAGCTGGGGCAGGAGTTAGATGGAGAAGGCGTGCAACAACCCCTTCCTGTTCTCAGAGAAAGCTTAGCAGGGGAGCTTCGAGGGGGGTGGAGGTGGGTCAGGGGCTGGGAAGCAGGGAGGCTTGAAGGCAGAAGGGCTTCCGGGAGATGAGATGTGCTGCAACAAGCAGGAAAGGGCCTGGAGTTGGGCTGCCCTAGACTTTTAGTCTCTGGGTACTCGAACCAAGCCACTTAACCTGTCAGGGCCTCAGTTTACACATCTGTAAAGTGGGGCTCCTAGCTCCAGCTCTCTTCCTCAGAGCAGTCAAGAGATATTGATTTGCTTTTGCCTGGAAGTCTAGCAGCCTTTGAAAATGGACTCAGCCTTAAAGCAGGCTGATGGTGCCCCGGCCACCAAGGCCTCTGCGCGGCTCAAACAGTGGCCTTTCCAGCGTTATTTAACAATAGCCTCGGGGAGGCTGCAAAGCCCCTGAGAAGCCATGAGTGCTGTCAGGACACCGACCCTCCACCTCTGCAGAGTTCCTGCCCGTGGGCCTCCCAATGTCCTACTGTCATGGTGGGCAAAAGGCTCCCTCGGCGGGGCCGGGGGGGGGCGGGGGGCAGTAGCCAGAGGAGGAGGCTTCCTGGGCCATCTGGAGCCTCTGGAACAGTGCAAAGAGAAGCCAAAGGTTCCTGCTGGAGGAAGCCAAGGAGCCAGGTGAGGCTGTCCACGGTGGCCGCATGTCTGACCTGCCAGACTTTATTCCCTCCTCAGTTCCCACAGCCTTCCTCATCGCGGGGACTGGAATCATCAGCCCCCAAGTACTCAGGGCCAAAGCCCACAGTTGTCTGTCCCCTCTTCCCTGCCCCTCCACATCCACCCACCACCAAGTCCCGGGAGCTCCCAAATCATCGGGCACGCGCCCACACCTCCCTCCGCAGCTACCACCCTGGGCCAAGGCCCCGGCGCGTTTCACCTGGCCACAAGGCAGCCTCGGGAGTAACCTTGGCCCCCTTCCCCCACCGGCAGCCAGCTGTCTCCCCTTGGCCCAAGCCCTCCCGTGGCTCCCACGGCAGCTGGGGGCCTGGTGCACTCTGGTCCCTCCCAGCCTCCTGACCGCTCGCCTCTCCCTTCCTGCTGTTTCTGCGTGTGCCAGCCACGCTGCTTGCCCGCCATCCACCGAGCCTGCCAAAGCCTGGTCCTGCTCAGGCCTCTCCTCCGGTGTGCCTTCCTCCCAGAACGCTTTTCCCCACCTGATGACTGGTTACCTCTTGTCATTCAGGTTTCAGCCAAGCGTCCCCCTTCCAAGAGGCCTCTCTGGCCACCTAGCTAAATCCTTGTCCCCCAGTCACCTCCGGCCCATTACCCTGTCCTGTTTTCCTTGCAGCATCTTTTACTCTGAAATTTTGGTTTGTCCTGTTTGTTTATTGTCTGTTATCCGCCCCCCCGCCACCGTAAGTTCTGTATACAAGGGACCTCTTTCTTTTAACACCGTTTTAGTAGCTTTATATAGATATAATTCATATA